TATAGAACCTAGAGAGAAAAGGTAGGATATGAATAAATGTAGATTCTGATTGCAAATTGACATTACAATTTAGAATTCAATTGTGATTACTTCCCTCCACAAGATCGGAGAGGGGTATTTATGGACGACGGATCGCCTTGCTACCCAAGTCTCTCGCTTTTGACGGTCGGCCAATTGTAGTTCTGCTTAGCCGATCACTTCACATTGGCATGGTCCTCGTCTTTGATCTTCGATATTTTTTTCTTAGATTGGATACCACGTCCACCACGCTAGCGACAGAGCCAATGTTGGAGAGTGAGAGAGACTTCGGAGAGTGAAGAAATAAAGGGATTGAGAGAATTTCCATATCATCACTATGTGGATTCAATCTTTGATAGCAGACAATTAGAGGAGATATCAATAAGCCTGTTATTGGGAGAATTTCCACATATATATCACTAAATTTAATAATTATTTTATTAAATTACCAAATAATAATTTAAGAAGCTTGATAACGAAGATATCAAAACGCACACTGGTTTAGCTCACCAAACAAGTCTTAAGTACTCGATTTCTTGTTTTGATTTGATTCCTTCCCCGCCTTAAGATTCACTTGTTCATTGTTAGCGGCAATTAAGAGTGAGCATAGTAAGGTATGAGACGAGATATAGGTCATATATGTGCTGATCCTCATCTTAAAATATCGATTCATGATGATTCGATATCAGTCTTTGTATAAATCAAGATAATTTGATTAAATACGCATGTATCCAATTTATATTTTGTTTCTTAAAAATTGAAAGTGCATTTAAATAAAGAAGCATAAAAAAACTTAGAAATAATAACTAAAATTAAAAAAAGTACACTTCACACATAATAAAACTTGAATCGAATTTTTAAAATAAACATATTACTCAATAAAAAATATAAATAAATTTATATATTTATAATATATTAGTATATATATTCAGTTTATCATTTTCGATACTCCCTCCGTCCCTAAATATTTGTCACACTTTTCTTTTTTATCCGTCCCAAAAAATTCACCACACTTCTAATAATGGAAAGTAAATTGGTGTGTTAAGACTATTATACCCTGCTTTTTCAAACTATGCATCAGAATCCTTATCCGGATTCCTCTCATTCTCACCACACTCTTTCGTCTCTCCATCTGATCTCTCATCTTCCATCTTCCTCTTCTCCATAATCTCTTCATCTCCGCGACATTCTCAAATTCCTCTCCGCCACAATCTTCGTCTTCTCCACTCCCTAATCTATGGATAATCCAGATCCCTCATATCCCAATTTTAATCTGTTGATACAGGAATCACCCTCGCGAGGTAGATTCCCCCAAATTGGTGGATTTGGACGAGGATTAAAGCGTCGCTATCCTACTCCTTCGACCTCTACTTCTGATACAGACCCAACCTGGAAGTATCGTAAGAAGTACGGGGATGTGGCGATGTTTGATGAATCAGATCTGGTATTTGAGAGCGACGAAGGGGAATCCGAAGAGGTGACATCTGACTATGATCATAGACAATTGGTCTGCACAGATTATGCTTTGATGGTGAACCCTCCACCAATACCCTTCGATCTGCCTTCCTGTGGTATGACCCCTCCTCAATAACTTAATTATCGAATGGATTGTCTCTGCATGTTATTGGAATTCAATCTCTTAACTAATGATGAAGGGGGGATTAAATTTCAACACTTTTTAGTGAGGCCATCACATCTCTGTGCCATTTGTGAAATCAATTTATGTATTTGGTTGTCTACTGGTGTGGCCCGAGGTGTATAATGCCCAGATTTTGGAGTATTTGCCCTTGATGTGTGGTCTGCGATGAGTTGAAATGTGTACTGGTCTTGCCATTCATTCATTATGTGAAATGTTACCTAGTGTGACTGCTCTGTGGTCTGTGATGACTTTAAAGTCTGTTACTTATGTGTTGCCATTCATTCCTTATGTGAAATGCTGCCCAGTATGTGATCCCTAATGCCTGTTGCCTACTGTGACTGCTCTGTGGTCTGTGATGACTTTAAAATTTGAGACCAATGTCTTGCCATTCATTCCTAATGTCAATGGCTACCCAGTATGTGATCCCTATGTGTGTGTTGCCCACTGTGAGTACTGCCTAGTATGTGATCCCTAAGTGTTTGTTGCCTCATGTGCCTGATCTGTGGTCTGTGATGATTTTAAAATTTGAGACCAAAAATGTGATGCTATTCATTCCTTATGTCAAAGGCTGGCCAATATGTGATCCCTAAGTGTTTGTTGCCTCATGTGCCTGATCTGTGGTCTGTGATGATTTTAAAATCTGAGACCAAAAATGTGTTGCCATTCATTCCTTATGTCAAATACTGGCCAGTATCTGATCCCTAAGTGTTTGTTGCCTCATGTGTCTGATCTGTGGTATGTGATGATTTTAAAATCTGAGACCAAAAATGTGTTGTCATTCATTCCTTATGTCAAATACTGGCCAGTATGTGATCTCTAAGTGTTTGTTGCCTCAGGTGCCTGATGTGTGGTCTGTGATGACTTTAAAATCTGAGACCAAAAATGCAACGTGTGGTGTGTGTATGGTGATGATGTGTACAATTGATAGCCTAGTTGTAAAATTATGAGAATGATGTGATGTTAACTTTAATTAAATACTCTTTCTCCCTTATTTTTTGCCTTTGCTTTTTTCTTTTGTACAGGTGGGTGGGGGGTATTCTTGGAAAAAAATACTTTTTACCTACTTTCTAAAAGTGTGTGCAAGTCAAAGTGTTGTGATTAAATAGGGACGGAGGGAGTATGAATTGTTATCTCATTCCACTTCCAAATACCAAACGGATTGTTTGTTTTGTACCGGTTTGGTTTTTTGAGATATTTTTTGGTTCGCTATTTTTCGATTTAGTTTTTTCAATAATTTCAAGAAAATTTCAAAATCAATACCGTAATTGCTTACCGCTAGCGGCAATTGTTGTTGCGATAAAAGAACACGCGGAGTATTTTATTTGGATTTTATTCCCGAAACACAAACACTCCGGGTATAAAATTAAGTGTATATACAATAATACAACTATGAATATAAAATTTGGGGAACCATTCTCCCCAATTTTGCAACTACTCCGTACATGATTAATTAAGGCCAACAACCAAATGCTACACTGAAAAAAGGAAGGTTGGGCATCTCAAGCAAACAAATGGTTTCCTTCAATTTGAGAAGGAAACGATCGAGCATTGATTAATATTAATTACACTAATGATTTGTTATCTAATTTTCTGTATTTCTATTGTTTGGTTGTGCTTTCATTTATTATAATGGACCCTTACCATGACACATCATAGGGAAACATTGTCATTAAGCAAAACTTTGTTCAAACCAATGATACATTCACTGAATGTAACAAAAGTACAGATTAGATTATTCTATATTCTTATGTAACCAACAATTATAACTTTGTTTATGCATTCAGAAACAAGTGTATGCAAATATAAAGTATGTCATCCATTCATCTTTCAACGTATCAGAAAAATTATAACAGTCAATTAAAAATTATAGAAAGTATAAGAATACATTTGTACAGAGGAGAAAAAGTATAACAATGCAGGCCACAATTTTCCCTCAAAATGGAACAAGAACATAATTTCAAAACATTCCCAAAAAGAAAATAAAAACATAATCGGTAGACAAAATAAGCAAAAAAGAAAATAATTCTGTTTGGGCCTCAGTTAATACACCAAATTTGATAACACTAGTGTCAATCTTGATAACATGTGTGATGTTCGAAAAAAGGTGTGAATGAAAATGAAGAAAGGTAACAAACGGGAACCATGTTACGTGAACCCCACATCTGACACCACGTTTGACGCTATAACAATGTCTCACAGACACACAGATCTCGCAAAGACATTTCTTGTTTGAGTGTGTCAGTTAGACACTAGTGTCAAATATATGGTCCTCCAAACTTTTTATTATTATTATTATTATTATTATTATTATTATTATCAAATGGAAGTGGTAAATGAAGGGAAGAACAGTGTGGGAGTGGTGGATTAACGGTGAAAAACAATAAAGAGGGAAAAGGAAAGGGCCATGTGACGAAGACAAGTGAAGTGACTGTGTGTGGGCAGGCCTAATGAATTTACAGTGGACAGGACAGGATTTCCTTTTGGGATTTTGGTGGATGCCTGTTTTTTTCTCTTTTAACAGCAATTATATAATTCTACCAACTGGGAAGAGATCTGAAGCCACTCATTCATTCATATTTCAAAGTTCAAAGACAAAAACATTTGTTTTCAAGAAACACAAGAAGTGTAAAAAAGATAGGCAGCCAGAGTGACAGAGAGAGAGATAAGAATTGAAAGGATTTTTGTGTTTGATATGAAACTGATGGAAGGGAACATCATAGGTAAACTCCAACCAAAAATCATGTTAGCCGCACTGACAAAAACTTGCTCAGAGACAGGGGACCCACACACCCCAATGGGCTAATGCAATCAGGCAAAACTATTCCTCCAATGAGAACCAAACACCAAGAAAAAGCAACATAGATGTTTGGTTGATTCAGAAGCCGGAACTGGAAATAAAATGGTCCAAAAAGTTTTTATTTTTTTATTTTTTTTGGGTTTGTCAGGGCTGTGGGCTGGGCTGTGGTACAAGGCCATGTGAATCCACCTCCAATAATTTTACAAGAAACTGATCAATCAAACAATGCCAATAAACTTAATTGAAGAATGGGGTTGTTGGGGGAGAGAGAGATCCCTGCCCACATGTAAAATGTAACTTTAAATGGTAACAAATTAAATGTTCCACACACATTTGTCAGCAAGGGCCTCACTCTCTCCTACTCATTCACCATTCTCTATGCACTGTTTCTATTTCCGGAGTTGAAAATTTCAACGAAGAGCACGCTTCTTATATGCTCCGTGAAATCACATTCTTTGTTTATAGTTTGAATGGATATATGGATAATTTGAGAGAAGGAGATTTTTTGCAAAAGATGAACACATGGACTTGGCAAGGTTTAAGATAATATGTACAGCAATCACTCACTTTGAATCCATGATGAGTCTAAGAGAAACACAAAAACAAAAAACATGGTATTTGTTGCATTACATGATTCATAGGTCACTTACCAAACACACAATACAGTTCAGGCCAGCACGAACATCTAATCATCATCCAAAGATACGATATCCTTTTGCACAATCTGCAACAACAGTTGGATTAGCTTCAAGAGACAAGAAGACATAAAGACAGGCAATTCTTAGCATTAAATGCAATCAGATTTCACCTTGCTCGATTGCGTCCATCCATTCTTTGACCAGAATGGCCACAAAATAAGTACTTGCATGTTTTAGGCTGAGCATTTGTGTGTGTGTGTGTGTCTGTGGAGGGTGGGGAATGTAATCAGACGAGGGTTAATCGTCTGACCTTCTAACACCACTCAATGATGCAAGTATGCAACCACTCATGCCCCCGCACCCAAAATGGTTCAATGGTGCCGCTCTGAGCTGCCCTGGCAAAATGTGGGGGTCCCTAAGTCTTTGGCAATCACCTTTTGGGCTCAAAGATACGAGTAAACGATTTAATCTCCAACTACTTATGACCAATTGGTTTGATGAATGAGTGAATCACTACGACGTTTGTTAAAATGATTCGATGCAACACAACGTACACCTCGCTACATCATCATATGATTTTATCTATGGGGTGTTGGAGCAAGCCCAACACGGGTGGCCCAACAGAGATTAGGAAGCCCAAGGCCTGTGATCGCCGGCCAAGTGTGTAGTCGAAGCACATGGGCCGAGCACCCCCATTGCACTGACTTCTTCCCTGGACCATCAAGTAGCCCTTTTCCTACCTTCTTCGGGCCTCAGGTTGCCTTTAAAAGTCTTTTTAACAGGCCCGATCATCTGGCCCAATTCATCCATCACAAGGACTAACAAAAAGTATAGTCAATGTTCTAAAGAGAACAGGGAGACAGATGGGGGCATTACATCTACGTGTGGATTGTGTGGGATGAGCATAGCTGGCCTCAGACAGGTCATTTGGGGGGGTGGATAATAGTCGCTTAGAGGTACCTAGCCCTTAAGCCGGAGAGTAGGCTGGAATGTTTAGAACTTAACATGTGAGTACTACTTAAGTCTTGGGGAATGCTATTTTAATAACTGATCAACTCATATCATGCCTATGTTTGATTGAAATTAAACATAACTAGGTTACTAGCTAGTGTTGTTCCAAGTTGAACACATCTAATTAGCTGCCCAATGTGGAAACATGTCTCACCTTTTTAGAAACTCCCCTCGTTTCACTAATTATCATTCAACGAGTCTACTTTGAACATTAAATTCTTATTTACCCGCCAACCATTTTCGGTGTATACCATATCAAAACATTCGCCTTACTTAGCAGAACGCATTTCCATTTCATAACGGCCCAAAACATTATTGGATCACTTTAATATTTATGTTTGAAAATGACCACTTGTAAGCCCATTTGGCTTCATTTTTCAAGCAGCTAGTTTACAAACAAAAGTCTACATAACATTCAGAATTTGGCTAGCACCTATGAGCTTGCATAAGTTAAAGGGAAACATATGGATTCCTCTCTAGGGAGCTGTAAGCCATGCCCAAACTCAATAAGAGGAACAAATCAATAAACATGTGATCAAATGTGCAACTCTTTTGTCATGCAAAAGCAGTAGCAATCTTACAGAGCTCATTATAGGATGAAACCTCCATTCCAAATGTCAAAAGTGAACTATAAACTTTTCAAAAACACATTGACTTAAACCTACACTTGTACTCACTCGGTGCCAGAAAAATGTTATATTAAAAAAGTGAGCACATATTAAAGATTCTAATAAAATCTCTTATATCCCTCTTTGAATTTAACATTAAATGTCTATTGACTCTATTCTATTTTCAACACTCATTTTCTTGCCTGAAACACTTCTTTTAAAGATTAAACACATTTACTTAATCTAAGTATAGTCAATGTGAGCATATTTTTGAGCTTCTGTAACGATCATTATTGTGAACAGATTTTTTGGCTACACATTTCTACATCATGTTTCCCAATAAGGACAATGATGTGAACAAAAGCTTGACAAAAGGAATAATCATACCTTGGATATATGCTCTTTCATTCTATTATTAATATCCCCATCTAGAGCTCTTTCAGCAAGCTCATAATGTATAGCATTACCCTCAGGGCCATTGACTTTCTCTTTGTGCAAATATCTGCATGCCACAAAGCCAAAGCCTATAAATCTAGTCCAATTAAATGTAAGTATATACCACAATAACAAAGACACACTAACCTTTGCTGAATAAGTGACTCCAATGTCATTTTCAAGTTACCGAGAACAGGATGGTTTTCATCAGTTTCCATCAAACCCAACCGTCTCAAATGACGCCAAAGATCTTCCTCCGCTATGTTGCCTCCAGAAAGATAGATAATACTAATCACCACAAAGGCAAACCCGTTAAAGTGTGATTTGTTCTTATCCTCCACACACTCCTTGTAGGCTTTTGGGGGTAACTTACTCACGAGGATATATGATTTTGCCTCACCAGAAACTGCAACAATCATGTTTCGAAGAATTAGATTTACAACAACACAAGAAAACAACCAGAGCTATTTTACTGAAGATCCATATCAATTGCATAAAGGGTAATAAGTACTTCAAGAGTATTACTTCCCTGGTTAATAGAGAATCAAATAAACACAATTAAACTTTTGAAAAAATGTTAGAATTGGATTTATTCAATTTCCTCAGAGAAAATGTTTCAGTTGACACTTAACCTGCCAAGACAAATTGTAAAAGGAACTAGCTCAACAACAAACTCAAACTCGTACTTGGAGGTCCAAACAAATTTTTTACTCTACACAAATCATAACAAGCGAAGAAGTTTCAATCTTTACAATCCCTTTTTTCGGAATTAATAGTTCTCTTTTTCTTTTTTGAAAGTCCCAAAAAAAGAGTCCCCCTTCTGCTCTTATTTTTTCTCTTTTTGCATCACTTTCAAACACGCAATTTCACTGTTCTTAAACTATCTGCCAAAAGAAATGGGGGAATATTAATTTGGGCAAGGCCAAATCCAGAAATTATACAAATGCATCATAGAAACCTTGCTGGGAATGGCGATTGTTTGCGGAGACACGGGTGCGCTGGAGCTCCTTCATTTCGTAGCCGAAAATGGCTTCGAGCTTATCCCTGGCCTCATTGATGATGAAAGCCGGGAGATTCCTCTGCCGATAGCTTTTCCCAGTGATCAGTTGGGTCAATTCCTCCCTCTTGATCGGACAACCGGAGCTCTGATCCGTCTTGAACAAAACATAGCGTATCACTTCTCCGACCAGCTTGTCCTTTTCCTGCCGCACAAATCTGTTAAAAACAACCCACACCCACACGGAATTGATTCGAGCGCCGATTCATACCTCTACGGAAATGTCGAACTGGGCGAAGTCTTCGCCGGAACCAGCCATCGCGCTTCTGTTTCCCAACTTTGCGGTTCTTGATTTTTCTGCTCCGGGCAATTCCAGTTTCCCGGGTCTAGATTAGGGCTTTTCCCGCCACTTCAGGCCCATCATCTTTTGTAGTTCAGATACGGAGTATATTGCAATGTACGGAGTATATCTCAAATTATACACCAAAATTATTACTCACATTTTGATGATCTAACACTTCCTTATATTTACACAAAGTCAAAATAGAAACTCTTTTATAGAACGGGGGAAGTAATAAATATTTTGTGTGAGTATTAATTATCATACTAGTATAAAAAAATATTATTGGTATAAATTACACTATTAGAAAATGAAGGTACATTTGATGTACAAATAGTTTAATTCTTTATTATATTAGAGTTTAACATTTGATGTACAAATAGTTTAATTTTTTATTATATCTAATGTTTTTAAATGGGAAATAGTACTAATACTCTTATTCAAAAAATAAAATGTATGATACGGAGTACCTTATTTTGGTATAGTTTTCATACTTTATTTTATTTAGGTATTTTTTTTTAAATACAGAAGAGTAAATTAAATAACAACAACAACAATAACAACAACCCAGTTAAATCCCACAAGAGTAGGGTCTGGGAAGGGTGTGTGTACGCAGACCTTGCCCCTACTCGAAAGTAGAGAGGCTGTTTCCAAAGAGACCCCCGGCTCAACGTCGAAAGTTGCATTGCTTGACTAATAGTATATGCACTCTGATGTTAAAAACTAGATTGAAAAATAAAAAAGTAAAATATTTTCATTGACTAAATATATTTAATACGGAGTATATAATATAAAATATTACTCCGTATTATTATAAACATTGTTTGAACGGGTCGTTGACCCCCGATTTAATTGATTCGACCGATCAACCCTTAACTCAGTACCTCTTCGGCCGGGTCGATCTCTAGTGCGGTTTTCAGAACATTAATAAAAACTAAATCCATCACATAAAAATTACGAGTAATTTTTTTCATGATATATACGGCGGAGTAGCATAACACATTTTTTCCTCCTAAAATTCAACCGCTAGCTGCTACCTTATTCAAGGCATATATACTATAATTTGACTTTGCATTACCTTGCTTCTTTTTAAATAAATAAGATAAATGTACAACTTTAACCATTATAATCTTAATTAAGCTATTTTATGGTTTAATAAATATATCAATCAATCTTGGTTGGAGCCCAAAATCCATGAAACCCCAGAGGGAAATTCAAGTGTGATGGAACTTCAAGTCTCGCCACCACTCCCTTACTGCTACTTTTCCCCATCTCTTTCCCATCCAACACAACCAGGTGACATCTCCCTCTTGAAACTGCATACTGCAAACTCATTTCAAAAATTTATTTTTTTTTTAAAAAAACACAATATTTTTTAATAAAATGAATATTTGCAAAATTAGTGAAACCAATAATAACTTAACACTCACCTCCACAACAAGTAGATACCCATCATCTTCTTCACCATTATTGTTTCCTCTGGGGACAAAGACCGGTTCACCAATGAACCGTCTCCTCCCCGCAGACCATGTCTGCGCCGAGGACCTATCTTCGGTGTTTAGCTTCACCACCGTGTCAAACGGAAAATGTGGCAACACACGGCGTGAACCGGATGAGGTGGCGGCGTACACGTACTTATTCTGCCTCCCAGAATAATCCGGATGAATTGCGGGGAAATCCGCGGCTCTTCCCCATTCGTTCAAATCGTTCAACGAAACATTGTCGCATTCCCCATTTGCACCCAGTGTTATGGACACCTACAACATAATATTTTATAACATCACATGTGTTTTTTCCCCAATGTACCACTTTTTGTCACTATCCATTAGTCATTATTCAAATAAATGTTCGTCATCACTAGACATTATGGACATTATTATTAAGTGTTATTTAGAGAATAAAATATTTTAATACTATTTAGTGCAAATATTTTTATTTTGTATGGATGAAATTAAATTTAACCTGAAGTAGATGAGGCAAGAGTTTATCTTCACCATCGTCTCCTCTGTTCATCATTGAAGGATCTAATTTCCCACTCCGCCAATCATATCCTGCAAAAAAAAAAAAACATAAACAAACGTAACATATTACACAAATGTTTTTTTTTAATAAAGAAGGTGTTACGTACCAAACATTTTCTGGAAATTGAACCAGCGATAAGAGCAGCCAGAAGCCTGGACTTGAATATGAAGTTTCCCGATGACCTCGTCTCTGTGCTCGAAGGCGTTTCCGACGTGTAATACCCATTTCTGCGATGGAGCTTCTATGGGTACCCTCCAGTCTCTTTGGACAACATTATTTTTGTTGTCGTTTGTTTGGCCGCTAATTCGGGGAAACCGAGGTAGCAGATAAATAGGAGACGTTTGCTTGCTTGGGTTCACGGATAATGCGGAAATCATGGGAGACAGCCCACATACTGCCCTCATTGATCCTGCCCTTTATTAAAACGTAACACACCATTACTATTAATTAATTAATCAATCATTAAGAATACACATAGGTGGTGATTTGAGAATCATACTCCATCCGTCCCTAAATAAAGTTCCTCTTTCATTTTTTTTGTCTCTAAATAAACTTCTCTTTTCCCTTAAAAAATCTCTTTTTATCCCTTACTTTTTCATACAGTACCTATCACATCATACCTTTTTACTAATAATCTACCTATCACATCTTACTTTTACACATCATATCAAGGGTATTTTTGGAAAGTTAACACAAAAATATCCCTCCCTTAAATCCTCAAAAAGTCAAAAATAGAACTTTATTTAGGGACGGAGGGAGTATTACGGAGTATATTCTATTCCTCTGAGTCAAAAAGTCTTTTCTTTTTCTTTTTTTTCTTATCCCATAAAATTTTTCTTTTTTCTAATAAAAAACCACATTTAAATTTACTAATTTTTAACCTACCTATCACACCAAATCTTTTTATTACTCCCTCCGTCCAACAAAAAAGTTCTCATTTTGACCATAAATTGGTCAAACTGTTGCACACTTTGACCTTAAATTAAATATAATCTAAATAAAGAAATGCTAAAAAAATTTGAGATATCAAAACTAGATACTAAGATGAATCCAATTATATAAAATTTATTTCATAATTCAATATACCTTTCTCACAATTTGTAGTCAAAGCATGTAAATATTTGACCAAATACTATTCAAAATGGAAACTTTTTTGTGGGACGGAGGGAATAATAACTTATCCATCAGATCCTACCTTTATTCATCATATTAGAGATATTTTTATATATCCATCTCCTAAATTTTCGAAAAATTAAAACGGGAACATATATCTTTAAGGGTCCGTTTGGTACACGGAATTGATGGAATTGGAATTGAATTGGAATTAAAATTCCATGGGATTCAATTCCTTAGAATTGAATTCATCAATTCTAATTCATTTTTTGCACTACCAATTCTAAATCCACATAATTTTTGTGCTACCAAACACGAAAATTGGAATTCAAGTCCTCAATTCCAATTTCATAGTTTGAGTACCAAACGGGGCCTAAGAATTGGAGGAAGCATGCATATACCTGGAAGATCGAGTTTGATGCGATTACCAAACAAAACGTAAAAGTTATCAGTGAGAGCCCAATCGTGGATCATAAGGTGGTCTGGGATGTTGTACTCTTCTTGCTGCACCAACTTCAACGTCGCATCAAATTCTGTAATATGTTGACATGCAAAATAAATATATATGCCCTCTTAGACTCTTAGTGACGACGGACGTACCATTATATTACGTGCCATGTTTTTGTAGTGTTGTTTATGATGATAAACAGTTTTTAACTTAGAAATTGCTAACAAGTTAGATATATTTTTTATCTCTAAAAGATTATCATAGTCTGATTTTTTTGTCAAATTATACCCCGTAACATTTTTTTACCGTGAATTATGAAAAATATATATTTAGCTATAATATAAATTTAGTAAAATTGGATTTATTTTAAAATATTGTTTTGAAAAATATCAAATTATTATAATATTTAAGTAGTTTAAATTATACTCCGTATATATATAATTCCTGGTCATATGATGTCACAGTTTATCCAAAAAAGTCAAGTTGTGAGAATCTTTTAAGGACAGAGAAGGTATTGTTTTTGTAAAAATAAAGAGTTTCTAACTTATAAAATACTAATAAGTTAAATATATTTTTTGTCTCTAAAAAATTGTTACAATTTGACTTTTTTGTCAAATTATGACATCCTATTATTTTGAAAAATATTAAATTTTATAATATTTAATATTTTAAATTATATTTAATTTATGGTCAAATGATGTCACAAATTGTCCAACAGAGTCAAACTGTGACAATCTTTTAGGGACAGAGAATGTATTGTTTTTGTAAAAGTTAAATGACTTAGATGATAGATAAATCATTGAAAATATTCATAAACGGTGAAAAATAGTGTTGTAAAGAATATGGTCAAAATGAAATTTCAAAAAAATTGCTTAAAAATATACCCCGTAATGATTAAGCAAAAGCAACTTTTGGAGATTCCATTATTATATCGATAACAATATGGGTGCTACAATAACAGGAGAAATTGCTAACCGTAAAATGTGAAAGTACTGCGCGGGAGTAGCATGTCTTCTGCGTTGCATGACATTATGATCAGTCTATTTCTTTTCCCATCTATCTTGTAATGTGACAAAAACCTCTTCGGACTCATCTTGAACACCCCTTATCGTTAAAAATAAAAAATAAATAAATCAGTTTAAAATAATTACAGTATTAAATTCCATATTTTAAAAAAATGAAAGAAATGAAGTTGTATGTACTACGTACCAAAAAGAACAGGCCTCAAGATTTGGGCAGCCACGTCCCAGAAACCTGCGGCAGTGAGCTTTTCCGGAGCATTTTGGGCCCCACATCGTTTGACCAACTTGACCTTACCAATGGTATCCAACGTGGCGGAATCAATCTCGTACGGATCGCCACCTTCCCAGAGACAAAACAACCTGCCACCCCAGTGCAGAACACTGGTGTTCGCCACATTCTTCATAACCTTAGTGTTCCCAATCATCTTCTCCCCCTTCAGGACCGAAAACGGGCCCCGGTGCGTGAACCGCCACCCGCCCGTTCTCGGGTCCCGCTCCTCCTCGTGCGCCTCCGTTCGGATGTACCTGGACATGAACGTGGCGCGCCCGGTCTTCCCGTTTATCTCGAACGCCCTCAGGTACCCGTG